TAGACCACTGAGCCATCTCACCAGCCCCTAAAGTCTTAAATTTGGGGTTTAGCATTCTAAAAACATTAAGCTGCTGATATATATTACTAGATAATTCTTTTCCAACTCTGAAATTTATAATTTAGTAATGAAAAATGTTTTCCATGTATAGGATATTTGACTTTCAAAATCATGTGCTGGGTTTAGAATTGGATTTCTGGAAATGAAATTACATTTTTCCTTTAACTTTTATCGACCAAGTGAGTTCAGGTGTACAGAAATAGTTATGAGTTCTGCACTGGAATGAGCATCCCGCACTAAACTGTACCTTCTCTTTAAAAACATGTAATTAAGGAACGATGACCCCGTGTGCTGAGCTGTGTTACATGCCAAAGTTTCTCCTATGTGGGGATTTGTATGTTGAAGTGGATATCTGTATATTATGAGAATTTGCTTCTTAGCTTTGGCTTATTATATCCTTGTTTCTCTTTGCAACTTATTAAAAGAAGGGCCTGAAAAATAGAAATAGGAAAGTAGAAGTAGAGAGATTGTTGGAACAAACATTTGGAAATATTAGGCCCCAAGAATTTTATTTGACAGTTTCTAGGAGGAGGGTAAGAGCGGTGATGTGTGTGGGGGTGGGGCCGAGAAGGGTCAAGGTCGTACAGCAAAGAGGTCGGGGTGCTGGCATAGAGATAGGTACACACTGTAGAAAGCCTCCCTGACTGTGGCTGTAACAGTTAGGGGCTCCAAAGAAATAGAGCCCACAGGATATTGCTGATGCATGTGAGAAGAGATTTATTTCCAAGTACAGTGTCATGCATTTGAGGGTTGTCAAGTGAGAATTCTGAGTGCGGTCCCTGAGAGTGGAGATTTATGTGTTTAATGCTGCAGGTTTTATGCAGAATTTCTTCTTTTGGAAAGCCCAGTTTTTGTCCTCAATGAACTGGACTGGTTGAGTGAGAGTCATACACATTGTGGAGTGTAATTTCCTTTCCTTGCTTAATTGTGGATATAAGATCTACAGAATATCTACAAGCACCTAGATTAGTGTTTTCTTACAACTGGGTACTGTAGCTTAGCCAAGTTGACACATAAAAGTATAGTGTATTTTCTGTAAGCAAAAATGCATTTGTAAGCATCACTCTTGTTACTGAAACAGCTTGGATAAGGAATGAAGGTGCTCAAGAAAGGTTTTTCAAAGATTTCACAGTAAAAGTAATGGAAACAGAAATTAGTGCTACAGTCCTCTCTATAATTTAAGTGAAAATGTTATTCATATTGCCTTAACTTAATATACTGTTGTAGTTGTTTCTTTTCAGTAACCTAAAAATATTTGAATGGTTTTTATATAAGGTCATAATTTTCTCAGCAGTTGATTCTTTTTCCATGAAGGCTTTCAAAAATCAAACATTTATGTAACAAAAATAACCCAACTCAGTACCAAGTAATAAAAAGCAATACTTACTAGGTTATTTATGGCTTTTGAGGGTTTTTTTTTTTGTTATTTGTCTGAAGGTTTTAGTGTGATGGTCAGGTTAATGTTCTGCACAGCTGGTTGGGAAGCATTGTTAAACAGATAATGATTATAATTTTTATTTTGAAAGAAAGCTTGCAGCTCGGCAATTTAAGGCTGATTTTCATGCTGGTATGTGGCGTCAGCTCAGCAGTATAGCATGTAGCTTTGCATTGTCTACTCCTGTGGTTCTTTGATGTCTTTACATTACTGTTTTTTTATACACTACATCCCCAGTCCTCTCACTCTGCCACCCGAAGAGCTACTGAATTTTTACACTGAAGTTCAGCTAATGTTAAATTCATGTTATGGCTGCAATCTCTGTCTTACTTTATAATTCGTGTTAGAGCTTTATGTAAGTAATATCTGTACTTGTCACACGAATCAGAATGCATGAAAGGCAGATGTTTCTGTCCCCTTCATCCCTGTGCCTCTCCCCCATGGCCTTTGCGGCTCTTGCCATCTCAGCTCCTGCGCGTTCCCTTCCCTTCTCTGGTTCTCCAGTTCTCCTTTCTCCTGCTCCTCTGCATGTCGCTTTATCAACACTTATCTCCTCTGTGCAGCATTGCTGCTGGTGGGGAGGAAAGGCACTTTGGCAGGGCTTTGTCTGCTTGGGGGGGGGCATATTTGTGAAATAGCCAGCAGCTTTTGGAGTGCGAAGGTTTCTGCTAGGCTTAATCTTGTCCATAAGTATGTTACACGAGTGAGTCAGCCAGTTTGCACTGCTGTGGCAAATATCTGAGGAAAATAAATCTTTCTCCCTGTAAGTTGTTGTTCTCAGGTAAAGCAGAACACCATGGTGGGAGGACGTGGTAGGGCAAAGCTGGACCCTGCATGGCAGTCGGGAAGAGAGACTGCTGCGAGCCAGAGAGCTGTGCTAGTGGATTTCTTCCTGCTGCTTCTGCCTCTTCCAGGCCTTCACACAGGGGATGGTCCTGCCCCATTAGGGTGAATGAACTGCTTCCCAACCATGAGGGTTTGAGCTCCCAGAGTTCTGTGCTGGCTCCTGCCCCTGGGATGCTTTGAGAAAGCGACTGAGACTGGGCATGGTGGCGCACGCCTGCAGTCCTAGTGCTTGGGACACTGAAAACAGGAGAATCACTACAAGTCCAATCTGTGTAGTGAGACCCTGTAGACTTTGTACTAAAAACAAAAACACCTACCATATTACCACTGACCTACAGTCCTTTAATTTTTTATTTTTATTTTAAAATAAAATGTGTTCGCAGCAGAATTCTAGATTGCTCAGGCTTTAGGCTAGTTGTGAAGCTTGAGAGTGGGATTCATGCTGGGCCTGGTCAGTTCTGAGGGCTGTACCCAGTTGTGTGTACTGAGCTGTGTTCCTTCCATAATTAGAAGTCTCTTTGCCAGATGGTTTGGAGCTTGGAATGTATTTCATTTCTTCTGCTTCTTCCTCAGACCACTCTTAGAACCAATATCCATTCATTTACTATTGGTAAAACTCTCAATACCTTGTTTTTAAATCTGTCCAAGTCATCCACTCTTTATACTATATTCTGAGGTTTTTCAATCCACATTTCCAGTCCATTGTCTTCACTGGTGGGCACGTATCTTGAAGTTTTGGCACCTGAAGCATACAGTGCAGCCATGTATGACAACCATTATTCATGTGTGCCAAAGTGGGCACTGGTGAATCAAGTATCTGTTTGAATTTTTTAGACATCTCTGATCTGTTGGCTGAGGGGTTTTCCTTCCTTTTCCATTACCTTGAAAGAGGTTTTGTGTAGAAACTGGCCTGGGAAGTTATTAAAATCTTGATATTGTCTTGATATTTCCAGCGGAGTCATTCATTCCTGCACTTTGTCTCTACTCAGATGGCAGTGGTCTCAGCTGTGTGCCCCTCTACCCCTTCCTCTGCACACACTGGGTCCATGTCTGCTGGGTGTTTAACACTTCAGTGGCATGGTTGAGTGTTCTGTGGTGACTCTGACACATGCAACCGGGGGCTGTGTCGAGGGTCAGTAAGCTGGGTTCTCTGTGGATGAGTGGCTTTTATCATGTGGCCAGTGAAGTCATGTGATTCCCAAAGAGTGAGGACAAAAGCTGAAGGTTCAAGTAATCTGAAATATCCAGATTTTGGGTGGTATTTTATAGGCGAAAAATGAAACCTCTTTTACTTAGATATAGATTCTGTTCTTGCTGTTATATCATCTATAATTTATGCTAAAAGTATTTATCTCAACACAAGTAAAATAGAAAAAATGGAAATAAATAAACTTAACTTTGTTTATAGAAACACTTCTGGTCTTGTAAGGGTTCCAAATGTAACAGTGGTGGACACAAAGTACTTTGAGGCCTTTTTGTCTTTCACTTCCCTGAGCCTGACAAGAACACAAGCAATGTTTTACATTTATTTATTGTTCTAAATATATTTCCTGATGGATCAGTGGGGAAAACTTTTTTTAACTGTGTGTCCAATGGAATTAGCAGAGCAAGGAGTCATTATATTTTACCTGATTGCTGCCTATTATAAGATGTAGCATGCCAAATTATCATAGTTTTATTCATTTTTGTCAACAGAAAAGTTTTTTCCCCTTTGGGCAAATAACATGTTTCAAAATAGAGCTATCAAAATTCATGATTATTAGATTTTACAGGTGTTTTGTATAAATTGTTACTCTTATACAGTGCCATTAAGTTATTATTTCAAAATAATTGCACATACCACATGAGCTGAAGCCCTTTGTGCATCTGATGGGTTTAAAGTGGCTTTATGAGTTAAAATATATATAGATTGCTTTTCAAAATATCTTCAACATCCAGTCTTTACCTCACGTCAACGCCGGTGATGCTCTCTACACGTCAACCTCTTACCTCACGTCAACGCCAGTGATGCTCTCTACACGTCAACCTCTTACCTCACGTCAATGCCGGTGATGCTCTCTACACATCAACCTCTCCCTCTCACTGATATGTTCAGTGGAGCACAGTGAAGAGGCACGTGAAGACGAGAATGTGCACTTCATTTAATGGTGTGCAGTGCAACTCGGAAGTACAGTATGTGGCTCCAGGAAAACTGGGCTGGAAAATGTGCGACTTTCCCATCGTCTAGGTGATACGAAGTACTGAAACCAAAAAGATATTCTAATTTATTTCTTAAATTTAAATAAATCATTTTAATTCATTTCTGCTGCAGAAGAGGTAAGGAAATATGAAAAGGAAGAGTACAGTCATTACTGAGAATTCATACAAGTAAAATTATGTTGTTTTCTTTCTCAGACCAAAAAGCTGAAGAGCATGTTTGGAATTGTTCACATACAAACATGGAG